GAGCAGCTGCTAGGTTTGAACCACTCACCTTTGGTTAGCTCCTAATCTACCACATACTCCCCACAAAATCCTGAACTAGCAAGCAGCATGGACTCCTGAGCCCTCAAATACCCTCAAGACCCTGAAGACCTGGAAGCACGACATGCAGCTTGTCACACCACAGAGACACCTCTCACCTGGCTGGCCGGTGGTGTGAGTGCTGCCATACAGATCCAACTCCTGCGCCTCCAGCTGTCGGTACTCCTTAACGTATTCCGTCTCTGAGCTCTCCAGCCTGAGAGGCCTGCAAGGGAAACTGACAGTGAGCAGCCTGCTTCCAACAAAGCCAGAAGCTCACATGCACTTGAGAGGAAGTTGCCAACAGTTACTTCTAAATTGGGTCCTGGGAGAAAAAATGCAATGGCCAATAAACAAATGAAAAAAACATTCAAACACAGTTTCCCAGGAAATGCAGATGACAGCATGATCTCAGGCGAACATAAAGGCCTGCCGAGCACTGGTCAGAGTCCACCCAAATTCCTGGGGGGCTGGAAAGGGGGTGTGGCTATAAACACCCCTTCGAGGGTGTCTGCCAGATCCACTCAGATGTAAGCACATGCTTCATCTCTCCACCTTCTCCTCCGAACCTTCCGTAGAGAAGCACCTGTGCACCTGCACAAGGACTCGGAGGCAAAGACGGGCACCAAGGTCTTCGTTCACTCATAAGACACCGTCCGGCCAGCTGCCAGGCAAGGCCTGCTGTGACCATGAGGGTTGGGCAGCAGCCTCTGTCCCCGTGTGGCTCTCACTCTAGGAAGGAAACCTAATGTGCACAGAAGATGCCAACCAGTGATAAGGAGAAGGGTAAAACAGGGTAAGGGCACCCGAGACTCCGGTGGGGGGTGAGGACTTTTCACAGTACTGGCCCAGCGGTTAAGTCCTCAGCTGCTATCCAAATGACAGTGGTCTTGGCAGGTCTGATGGAGCCTGGGGGACCCCTGAGAGTTTGGCCCCTAGCTGCCCCGCAGGTCTGGAATTGTGGCTTCCAGCCAAACAAAAGACAGGCATATGAGGTGAACACTGACGTTAGGTAGATACACTCCTTGGAGAGATCAATCACAGGAGATTGGAAGGGCTGTGTATGCACAGGGAGACAGCTCGGGGGGCAGAAGTGCACAGGAGGGAAGGACACAGGAAGAGGTGGCTATGGGGAAGAAGTGGAAAGGGAGCTGTTGCATTGTGGGAGATTACAGCTAATGTCATGAGACAAACGGTATGTGAGCTGCTGTATGGGAGATGAATTGGTTCTGTAAACTTTCACCTAAATCACAATAAAATTTAAAAAAAAAAAAGACTGGTTTGAACTCTCCCGTTGCCCTGAGGAAGAAAGATGTGCTGCTTTCATAAAGACTTACAGCCTTGGAAACCTTATGGGACCAATCTATTCTGTCCTAT